TGAAGACACCTGAGATGAAAGAAGTTGAGTCGCCGCCCCCAGTTCTCACAGACCTATCATAGTGACTCAGCTTAATAGAGAGATCTACCCACTGTGATCTTCCGGTGCGGTTCCGTGGAGCAAGAGGAACATTCAGACGCAAGGTGAGAGGAATAGTGTATTCTGTACAGAGCTAGGGGGAAATATCTTGGACGAGCGTGCTTGTGTCCACACTCGCGAGAGCGGTGTCCGAAGTGTCAGAGCGCAGGAGTCATCCAGCGAGGTCATGTGCGAGTCAGCCTCATGGAAATGATTGGCCAGCTCGGATCGGGTTCGGCCTACGGGTGCTGTGAGAGGCGAGCGGTTGATTGTTGCACTCGGAGTTGGACCACTACGTGACCTCGATTGCACCCTCACAAACGTGGGATTCCGAACTCCCTTTTTGCGAACATTTAGTACGTTGTACAGGAACTGAGTCATGCATTGCACTCCCTAGCTGTCTGTTTAATTCTATCCTACACTGCGCCCAAGCTCACCTCCGGTCGTCTTGACGCTGTTTTCCTATCGGTGTTTGGTGGGTGAGGGAGGAACGCGTGCTGTAGGTTCTGCGTAAGTTCGCCTCACGATAAAATACTTCAACCGCAAGTCGGCGGCGCTAATACGTCGCTCGCTACGGCAGACCTTAGACTGTACTGACGTTTGCATACGTCCCTGTGCAATAAGAGCTCCGCTATTCCAGCGTGCAGCACTTTAGGTTTTTTTATCGTTCAAAAATTGCGGTCGGCGTACTTTCCTGACCGTTTCAACGGTAATTGGAAGCTGTGAAGGACGGCGTAGACGTCCTGTAGCTGAAGAAACCTTGGACAACATTGGTTCTCTGACCCTAAACTCCGCATTTGGGAATGTTGGCGGCTGGTACATTTTGGAACAGTCAGCTTTTTTTAATCTCCTCCCGCTACGTCCTGTTTGCACTTCAGGACTTATTCGACTGACGCCAGTCATAGGTTTACCTCGGGTATTGATACCTCAACCAAAACCTGATGATTTAAGACGGGCATCAAACAGATTGTACATCACAAATGCTCTGTCTAGAGTTGTACAGGCACGTGAACTTCGTAGAGACGTGCAACCTCTAGTGTGACTTTAGGCGCACTTTTTCGCCTCAAATATTCATTATCGAATCTGAGGGGAGACTTTGCCATCTACCGTGGTGCGTTTAAGTTTGTAAATGGCTGCCTGCGGATTGGCAAGCAATATCATTGTGTCCTATGTCTACTGGTGGACTTTTTTCTGACCCTCATTTTCGGATGAATTTCCTCTTAAGTTTTTCTGTATAGACAGTGGTTTTTGATGTACATGATTGTCCTCTTAAAACCCTTGGTTCACTATTTGTTTTATACATTCATTCTCGCCCTAACTTTTCGAAACAGCAACTTACTGGAACTCGGGTCTCTGTGAATCGAGCTGTAACCCTCCTTGAAGCGGAGTTCTGCGCGCCGACTCGAGTTAAACAAACCACCAAACGGCACGAAGAGCTGCCCGCCTGCGTCCTTGTTATCGACGAATTGGACCTACTCTGCTCTAAACGACAGGACGTCCTCTACAGTCTCTTCGACTGGCCCTGTCGTCAGGTCGGTCGTCGTCTGCTCATAGTCCTAGCCATTGCGAACACCATGGACCTACCGGAACGTCTTTTGCACCACCGTGTTGCTAGTCGTCTGGGTCTTAATCGGCTGCCTTTCTCACCGTACTCACACGAGCAGCTTGCAGAAATCGTACGCTCTCGTCTTGGACCAGCCCTCAGCTCCAGTTTTGCTGTTAGTTTTGCGTTCTACCACCTCAGGCCATTTCATTTACCGTTCCTGTTCCCTTCTTTTATCGTTCAATTCTCCTTGCTGTATGTTGTATGAAGTAGGCGGAGAGGGAGGGCTCGCCGCTTTACCAGTTACCTTCTATTAGTAACCCTTCTCTTTTATGGTTTTTACGACGCACTGATGAGTTCAGGAACCCAGATAGAGGTAACCGTTTCGATTACGCGTTGGAACCGGGTGAGGATAGTTGGTGTGTCTCTCAAAAGTCTGGCAGTCGAGCTGTGTTATTGATGTTGACAAGGTTTCTAGATGTCTGATGGATTTGAAACACTCATCACTGTGCTAATCTTATTATGGCATGCGCGGACTGCGGGCTTCGGGTCAGGTCAACCACTGCAGTCGGTAAATGTGGTAATGCGAGTGGGCTTATTTCTGCAAGTCTTTGGTTCTTAAGAGCGGAGTACTGCTGACAAGAACATCATTTCGTTTGTTTTGGCGACACTAACTACTTTCTGTCGAATTGATATTAGGAACTCAAATGACGTCGCCTTGTAGTTAAGAACTGGCCTTCCGAACGCCTACTGGTTTGTAGCGTAGATGGCCGATGTTTTGCTCGCATAGTGGCTTTATAGGTTATCTCATGAGTTCTCCACGTCCTTTTCTAAAATTGTAACTTCCCGTCGGTCAGTATGTACTGACCACATCTACTCTGTAACCAGGTGGTGTATGGTAGGATGTAGTGACACAAGCACGGGCTGTGAGGGCTGGATACTGTGCCGCTGCCCCTATCAGCTTGATGTTTTAGTACAATCCTGGTCAAGTGTTTCTTGTAAATTATAGAACATAGTGGTGCGATGAAGTGCGGATTTCACCGTGTTAGTCACCTGCACCCTATCCCGCCTTCGGTATTCTATACTCTATCTTGACACGGGGCATGGACGGTTGAGGGAAGAGAGTGGAAGTGCGCAAGTCTGCTATCATTATGAGCTAATTAACGCACATGACATCGCGTTTACTTACAGCCCGCTGTGAAGCACGCGGTGGACATAGTCTAGTTCGATGATCGAACTGTGACGTGCTGTATGGCATGGGAGTAGCTGAACATACCTGAATGACACTTTTAAAGTAGACCGTCTAAAACCACTACTGCAGCATTCCATGTGCTAAGTTTTTTTCTTAGTACCTTTAACTTTCATAAAACAACGTTCATAACCGCCGCGTTCTTGGTCAAGACATCAGAAAGCGTACAAAGTACCAACGCATTGACTCTTTGCTCGCACTCCCAGGTGGTCACTTTTGACCACTTTTGCTATTCGCTGTATGGCATTTCTGAAGGCAGCTGCAAAGAAACTTATTAAAAAGCCAGCATCATGTCGTGATTGCAGTATCTTAGGAGAGGGCTGCACGATTATTATTATTTTACCTTAAGTAACCCTGATTGGAAACACATTTTAGAATGTCTGTTAACATTTCATGTGATGGCACTTTTACTATA